GGCTCGGCTCGGCTCGGCTCCTATAGGCTCGGCTCGGTTCGTATAGACTCGAGGCTCGGCTTAGCTCGGCTTAGCTCGGCTCGGCTCGGCTCGTAGGCTCGTATAGGCTCGGCTCGTACTAAAGCTCGTAGGCTCGGCTTAGCTCGGCTCGGCTTAGCTCGTCTCGGCTCGTATAGACTCGTAGGCTCGGCTCGGCTCGGCTCGTATAGGCTCGCCTTGGCTCGTATAGACTCGGCTCGTATAGGCTCGTATAGGCTCGGCTCGGCTCGTAGTCTCGTATAGGCTCGGATCGTACTAAGGCTCGTAGGCTCGGCTCTTCAAATGGTCATTTGCGATAAATAGGCAAAAACCTACAAACTTTTTTTACTGATTTTGCTCCAATATTGCAATACCAATTGCTATGGTAACGATAAAGGTAACCTATCAGTTTGACCTAATCTAATTATTAGCAGCTCTCACTAGTTTTTAGCTAGTTATCTCTTCTAATCTAATTATAAGCCATACCGAAGTTTTAAGGGAAAAAAGGGTCGAGTTGGCATTGCAGTGCACTGTGGGACTATTTGAGTCATTGTCCCAAATAGGTTTCAAACCCATGACCTTCCGGATACCAGTCGTATGCTTTGCCACTGAGCATGCGTCTTTCCTGTAGCTGATTTTTTTCAGAGTTCTCCTTTCAGCTAGTGACAAAAGTAAAATTATTCCATACTTTATACATTGTTTGATCTGTTATATGATATTTGTTTTATTGTTGGCACAGACACTGCAGCTCAAGCATGCTCTGATGATGCCATCTGTACTTCATATACCGATGCAATGTGCAATCAACCTTGGCTCCAGAGTCACTGCAAGAGCAAGTGCAAGCTTTGTTAAGGATATATTTTCAAGATGACGTCTATTTCGTCGACTTTTGCCTATTTATCGCAAATGACCATTTGAAGAGCCGAGCCTACGAGCCAAGCCGAGCCTATACGAGCCGAATCTATGCGAGCCGAGCCTATACGAGCCTACGAGCTGAGCTGAGCCTATACGAGCCTATACGAGCCGAGTCTATACGAGCCAAGCCGGGCCTATACGAGCCGAGCCGAGCCTATACGAGCCTACGAGCCGAGCTGAGCCTATACGAGCCTATACGAGCCTATACGAGCCTATACGAGCCGAGTCTATACAAGCCAAGCCGAGCCTATACGAGCCGAGCCGAGTCTACGAATCTATACGAGCCGAGACGAGCTAAGCCGAGCCTACGAGCTTTAGTATGAGCCGAGCCTATACGAGCTTACGAGCCGAGCCCAGCTAAGCTGAGCCTCGAGTCTATACGAGCCGAGCCTAGCCGAGCCTATAGGAGCCGAGCCGAGCCGAGCCGAGCCGAGCCGAGCCGAGCCGAGCCGAGCCGAGCCGAGCCGAGCCGAGCCGAGCCGAGCCGAGCCGAGCCGAGCCGAGCCGAGCCGAGCCGACGAGTCTATACGAGCCGAGTCGAGCCGATGTGGGGTCGATGTGGGGTCGGTGAGAGGTCGATGTGGGGTCAATGTGAGGTCGATGTGAGGTCGATGAGAGGTCGATGTGAGGTCGATGAGAGGTGGATGTGGGGTCGATGTGGGGTGGATGTGGGGTGGATGTGGGGTGGATGTAGGGTGGATGTGGGGTGGTTGTGGGGTGGATGTCATTCTACACTAATATCAAACCTATCTACACTAGGATCTACACTAGAATCTATACTAGATCTACTATCTATACTAGATCTACTATCAATACTAGAATCTACACTAGAGTCTACTAGAAATGTGCAAATTATTGTATATATATAATGGTCTTGATATTTAGTAGTTGATTCTTGTRTGAYGGACTCGACAATTATGCAGAACACAGTCCTCTATTGTTTCAAGTGACGGGTGTTTCTATTGAACAAATATATGCTGACAATCAAAACATCATACTTGGTTAAATAATGAAAAGAGCTGTAACTAAACTTTTTTTTGTATTCACATGCATTGAGCGTTTTATGAAAAAATTTACATTATTTTAGAGAACTCAATTAGGGTGAAACAAAAGCATAAAGTAAAAAGAGTCTAATCCTTTAACAATAGGCTTTGTGACAGAAAAACTATATTTTATGAATAATTAGAACATTTTATTTGGATTAAACTTTGACGTAAAATATAGGATGTGGTGCAATCCAGCAAGCTAAAAAATAGATATATACGGAGCCTCACTGTAGAATACGTTACCGTTATTACGGGTCCGGTGTAGGGTCTGGGGGAGAGCACCGGTTCGCACCGGTGGCACCGGGTTATAAATGTATTTATGCGTTAAAGATTAGGCTTCAGAGGTCCTCTATTTTATAAATGATCATTCTAGGGAAAAATACTTAGACCATCAGTATTCAAAATAGGGATTTTGTTAGAAGAGCATCGATGGTTTGGAAAAGATGTTGTTTTGTTCAACAATAAAAAGGACAATATTCAAGCAAGTGCCGCGAGAACTATAATACCATCCAGCCAACTAAAAACAGACATGACTAAAAACACGGCAATATCCAAGCAAGTGCCGCGAGATTTACAATACAATCCAGCCAACTAAAAACACGGGGTAGTAAGAATAGCAATTACGTCACCTCTGTAAGGACCCTGGGGGGGTTGATCCACGATCCACCCTGATCCACGATCCACCTGGCGTAGAACTGGAACCTCACTGGAACCTCAATTGATTGATGCAGAACCGGCACTTCATATCTACTAATTTCTTCAGCCATAGTTTCAGGATTTGAGCTGCTACAGTAGCTGCGCGAAATGGCGTTCCCGACCATCTTATCCGAGCGCTATAGCCGGGCCGCGCAAAAGCTTTAGCGGCTATACCCCGCACCTATCATAAACAGTGATTAGATTCATCTTCTCATATAACTTGCTTAGACTGTGCTCACATCCATTGTCCAAGTCATTTGACAGCCTTTGTAGATGTAAATTAATTGCTGTTAACTTATTCGTCGTAATTTCGTGTCTCTAGCTTGTATGTAAAAGACTCAAGTCGGGTTGATTAAATAATTAAAATGAGTTATGCTAGGCCCCGTTTTTCGCTTGTTGCTCGAGTGGACTGGTGCTTGGGTCATTTCGGTGAAAAGTCACTGTTCCCTTTCCCTTTCCTCTAAGCACCTTGGAGAATACTTTGGTTGTGACAGGGTTGCCTTGGTTACCACGATTTTATGCGCTAGGCCCCTCTTATCCCACCGAAAAAGCACTCAACGCCAAGCTCAACAAAAGTTTGTATTATTAATACAAATCCATCGGAAAAAGCGAAATTTATATGTATAATATTTACTATATGATCTGCCGTGTTGGTTGTATCGGCTACACCATAAAGAACCGGAGGTTGTAAACAACTTGTGAAATGCCGTGAATAATTCATAAATCCTTTGGGACATTTGGAATTCATATGCTAGTTACATACAACCACTAGTGCTGTATGAGAACTGTATACATCCATTTAAAAGCATTACAAACTTACCTTCCTTCCACATACCGGCTACTGGTCTTGTAAAAAATGATACAAAATGTGACCTGACCTATATTTTCAGGAACAGTCATAGACGTCTTTTCAAAACCAACTGTATCTGAGGAAAAACAAAGACGTCAGTTTTTTTTCTTTGTCAATGGTGCCATCATATTTGCAAAACTGCGTTTTACCATCTCCGCAATATCGCAAAAGTAAGGAAGTTCCTGTCTGTCAAAACTACTGAAACTCTGATTCATGCTTTCGTCACGTCTAAGATTGATCAATATAACTGCCTCCTTCTTGGTCTTCCAAAACATCTCATCTTCAAACTTAAAAGTGTGCAAAATGCCGCTGCTCAACTAATTACATAGGCTCATAAATATGATCAAATCTCTCCCATCTTAATCAAACTGCATTGGCTTCCCGCAACTGACGGTATCAAATTCAAGATTCTACTCATTACTTTCAAATCACTCTACGACTTGGCTCCCTCCTATATATCTAACATGATTTCTTGTTATACACCATCGAGACCCTTACGTTCTTCATCTGTTCTGTTACTTGAACATAAGAAATATCGCGTCAAATCCTGTGGCCATCGCTCTTTTTCCATCTCTGCTCCTAAACTCTATTCCGTCTTCAATAAGAAACACTGCAAGCCTTTCGTCCTTCAATTCATCTTTTAAAACTCATTTGTTTAAATTAGCATTTAATTTGCAATTAATATTTCTCGTAATTTTTTCCTGAGTGCTTAGAGCAGTTCTGGATAGGCGCTATACGAATAGTTATGATGATGATGATGATGATGATGATGATGATGATGATGATGATGATGATGACAGCAGTGTTAAACTTTAGTATGCTCCATACAAGTAGCACAGTAGGGCGTAAAGCGTAACCTAAAGGCCAATCTAACCCTAAAAAGCTTCTAATTATAATTGCTTTTTATACGATGAACTACTGACTCTTGTCTATAATAATAGTGATGTTCCTAATCACAATAGCTAAATATCCTAAAAAAATTAATATCTAGTTATAAAAACTTATAAAAAATATTATCCTAATCTCTAAAAAACCCTCAACTAGAGTGGTGAGCAAAATTAATTTTATTATTATCATTATTATTATTATTATCTTTATTTACAATTTGCTTCAATTTTGCTTATTATTATTATCATTATTATTATTATTGCTAAGGGTCTTACCAAGGGTTTATAGAAAGGTCGTTGCAAATAGGAAGGCTATACACAGCTAGAAATAGATCATTTATTCAATCTCTTGTACTTCCTAAATTTACTTATGTGTTGCCTGTTTATGGAGCCAGTTCTCCAGATCTTAATATCATACAATGTTTTTTAACTAGATGTTACAAGAGGTGTTATACGATGGATCAGATTAATATTTTTAGTATTTTAGAACAGTGTGACCGCAGACTCTATGCTAAGATTGAACATAATCCTTCTCATCCGTTATATGTATTCGCTTCTTCCAAAGGTGAAAGAGTATTCTAGAAAGCTACGCGCTCAATCCTCGGCAAGGCCTAAGATTAACACAGAACATTTTAAGAATTGTTTTATTAATAGGCTAGTTTTTAAGTATAATTTAGTGGCAAAAAAATTACTCCTTAAGGACGGTGCCTACTATTGTCCACGCGCACACGTACTACGTATCTACATTCGAGGAATTTCTAAAGGTGATGTTACACGCGACCATTTTCAGCGTCGATTTTTCGCGATACGCGTTGCCAACTGCTAATATATGTTACACGGCCGTTTTTTGGCGCAACATTCCTACGAATTGAACATGTTACACACGCGATTTTTTTAAATGGCAATTTCGATCCCACCTCCCAAGCCGCGCAGTGTGACGAATCAAAGCAAACAGTGTGTTCAAATTGAAACACATCCTCGACCTCTTTTAAAGCTTGTTCTTTTACATCTTTTGTTTGCTTGTCATGTGGAGACCACATACAAGGCTTTGCTTTGATGAACGATATTAAATTCAGACGTGCTGCATCATCTAAGCGGCTCTGCGGGTTACTAACAATTCATCAACATCTTACAAATTTTCGTCTTCTTCAATTACCGTCGCCATCTTGTTTGTTGACATCAGCCCTGTCCTTGAACTGCATTCTGGGTAGGTGTTGCGCGAAAAACTGTCGACGAAGCTGTTACACGCATCAACTTGCTGAAAATTCGTCATTTCGTTCGTGTTGCGAGTTTTTGAAGGAGAATCAAAAACTCGCAACGTGTTGCCGTATCCGAAAATCTACGTGTGCGGTGTGTTAAACGCATCATTTTTTTTGCGCAACGGCGTATCGCGAAAATCGACGCGAAAAATCGTCGCGTGAAACATCACCTTCAATTTATTACTTGAATTGCACAAAAAAAAAAAAAAAAGCGTTTTTTTTCAATAAAAGTTAAAGCAGAAAACTATTTTAAGTAACCCAGGCTTGTTAAAGAGATAATTTGCTAAGATTCAAGTGATATTGACAAAGAATCATAAGTTTTTTGGGCCTGTTTTGAAAAAATGGCAGACTCATAGTCCAAAAAAGCCAATAATAATAATATATAGGTGTGAAATTATAGTTCTGAAAACCTTCTTTTTTTGCTCGCTAAACACTTTTATCATGAAAGTCTATTACTTTGGAGTTTTGAAACTAAAAAAATCATCTTATTACGTACCAAATATTTCAGAAATTCCTTTCTACTATGAAGTAAAAAGTCAATAATAACTTTACTTCAAACCCAATATTCTTCCTGGAACTATAAAGCTTGAAAATGTCGAGTTTTTCTCTGTGTTTTCCGCTTGCATGGAATGGATGCAGCATGCTTTAGCTTGTGCAAACGCGCCGAACACGGAGTTTGTTATGCTGTGTAACGCTTGTCAAGCATTCGGTATAACATTCATCTCTAATTAATAATATTCTTTAAAAATTCGTATCTCTTAAAAACGTCTGGATAACCTTATTTTTCTTTTGCTTAAATTATAAAGTAAATGCCAAATTAGCCTTGTGAAATGAAAATTATAAAAAATAATTGTTTTTTTTTTAAAGAATATGGACACAATCTCTATGTATCTAATGATCAAAAAATAGGGAGCACGAAGGTAAAAATTTATATAGTTTTTAGCAACCTATTATAGTCATGATAGTAGGGGTATATTTTAGTCAATAAACAAGGTGTTGTTATATATGAAGAAAAAATACATTGGGTTTCCTGTGTTACGGACGTGTGTTGTAAGAAAAAAGAAAAAAAGAGTTGAAGACCACGTGCAGTCTAGTTCAAGTTTCTAGTACTTTATTCCTAGATTTAAGTACCTTTTCCCAGGGACGCAACAATACTGGCGACGAGGATGGGATCCTATCGTGGACTATTGAACTATTTGTTTACATTTGTACAAGTTCAAGTCAAGTTAACTGGAATTATTTGGTGCTTTGTCGATCGTCATGGCTTCGGGATTTCTTGATTCAATTGAATAGTTTGACCCGACGTCTGAGTTATTCTCATCCTATCTGGAAAGATTAGAGCAGTTTTTTATTGCCAATGATGTTGGAAAAGTTGCATCTGATGCTTCTGAAGCTTTAAAGAAGGCAGCGGATCAGAAACGGGTCACTGTTATGATTTCTATAATCGGTAAGAAAGCCTACAATACACTGAGAGACTTGTGTACACCCTCGCCGCCAAAGGACAAGACTTTCAACGAACTCTGCACAATTTTACGTGAGCATTACAAGCCAAAGAGCCTAGAAGTGGTTGGTACGTACAAATTTCATCAATGTGTTCAAGGAGAAACTGAGTCTGTATCAGAATTTAGTGCTCGATTACGACCTTGAGAGATCACTTAGAGATCAGTTTATTAGTGGAATTCGAAACCCAAACACAAGAAAAAAATTGCTTGATCAAGACCGATCATTTCAAGAAGCTCTTAAGGTCGCAATTTCTGACGAATTGGCTGCCTTATTTCAGAGACAAGGTGGATCGACGACGACTGTTAATGCTGTATACAAGCCTCGTGGTTCTTTCCGGGGACGCAGAAAACAAGCCACCCCAGCACTTAAAGAGCTTCATCAAAGTTTCAAGGTAAAGAGTAATGATCCTTATAAATGTTATAGTTGTGGAGGCACTGATCACCAGAGGAGCAAATGCAAACATAGAGATAAAACATGCCATAAGTGCCACAAAAAGTGTCACATTGCTAAAATGTGTAAGCAGAAGGATATCCATGCTGTTGAAGAATCCTTTCGTGATGCTGATGCCGATTAACACTGTATCAAGACATGATATTTCTGTACCATTGAAGATAGAAAACAGTGAAGTTACTATGCAATTAGACACTGGTTGTGCATTTTCACTAGCACCTAAAGGATTTTATGAGCAGTATTGCTCAAATGTGCCTTTAAAACCCACAAGTGTTGAACTATCTACTTACACTGGTGAACGAATTCATCCACTTGGAGAAGTAACTATTAAGATAAATTACTCTGGAGCTGAGTACTCTTTGCCCCTTCGTATTGTACCCAGTGGTTCAATTGCCCTTTTTGGACCCAACTGGTTGGCCAAAATAAAGTTAGATTGGAAAAGTCTCTCAGGACTTAAACATGTGGATCGAGTTCTAGCTCCACCTGTCAGTAACACTGTTGAATCACCAACCTCATTAGAATCAGTCCTGCACAAGTACCAAAGCCTGTTTGATAATACACTTGGATGCTACAATGGTCCTCCAGTGGAGTTATAGGTCAACGCCCGGCCAAGTTTTCACAAGGCCCGACCTGTTCCTTTTGCCTTAAAGTCAAGGGTTGAAAAAGCCATCCATAAGCTATAGGATGAAGGAGTGATCGAACGAGTACCCACTGCCCCTTGTGCAGCACCCATTGTAGTGGTAGGAAAGAAGGACACTGATGAGGTACGGATTTGTGGTGATTTTAGCGTTACATACAACGCTTGTGCAGATGTTGAAACATACCCATTGCCCAAAGTTGAAGATCTCCATGAAGCACTGCGCGGCAGTCAAGTGCTCAGTATCTTAGATATGAGTCAAGCGTATCATCAGCTTCCATTACCCCGAGAGTCAAAACCTTACGTACCATTAACACACATGTTGGCTTGTACTCCTTTA